AGAGGGGAGGCAAAGGATGGAGCTATTTTTTCTCCTGTGGTCCAGCTAACAGCAGGCTGGCACCCCTGACCCCACCAGGCACCCTGGATTTGGGCAGCACTGCTGCTCTGCACCCATGTTTCCCTGTGCCACCTGAGCAGCTGGTGGCATTGAAGTTCCCCCTCATCCCAATGGGGTTGGGTGACTCCAACCCCTTGGCCACCCCATGTGACACTTGGCACTGTCCCCAACCAAGCAAGCAGCTACCAAGGATCTACCAAGGCGTTTATTTCCAGTGTGACGAGGGGTTACACAGAGGCGTGGGCTGGTGCTGAGGGCAATGCTCAGAACGGTGAGCAGGCAGGGAACTGGGGATGCTGGGGGCCTGCACCCCCCCGGAGCCGCAGGAGCAGGTAGATGGTGGTCTGGGGCTGGACGTTGTAATGTGCCAGCGTGTGCCGGTCCTCCAGCTCTCTGGAGCCATACGTCAGGCGCTGCTGGTCAGCAGGAGGCCCCTGCCGGCTCTGGATCTGCTCCTTCAGCTTCCGGACAGTGTCAGTGGGCAGCACCGTGTAGGTAGTGGTGCGGTTCTTATCATCCTTCACGAAGACCTGCATCTCCTGGGGCTCAACCTGCAGCAGCACCAGCGTGGTGCTGTAGAAGATGCCATGCGCAGCCAGGGTCTTGCTATCCTGTAGGTTGATGTTGCTCCTACCTGGCTCCTGCTGTGCCAAGTGCTGCCTGTAAAAGGGGATGCCCCACTCCTTCTGGATCACCTCCTTCACCTTCCCGATGGTGTCATAGGGGCTGATGGTCATGCTTAGTCTGGTGCCTGACAGCTGCTTCACCTCAATGTTCACACGTCGGGCCGGCTGCAGGGACAGGAGAGTGGGTTGGCAAAGCCAGCAGGGCCAGGGGTAGGGGGCCATGATGCCCACAGGCTCAGGCAGCCTTACCTGCACCTCCCAGGGCTGGACCTCTGCCAGGCAGAGCAGTGAGCTGCAGCTGCTGGCAGCTGCCTGTGCCATCAGGCCCCAGTTCTTGCCTTGGCCCAGGATCCCCGTGGGGTCAGCAGGGTCCAGAATGACAGGGCTGCAAACACAAAGAGTGGGCGCTGCTGTCAGCCCTGGGCAGTGCCATGGGGCCAGTGGCACAGGTGCCAAAAGACAGAGCCCTCACCGGTCACGGCGCAGCAGCCCCTTGACAAAGGCACCGATCTCAGCGTGCTGGAGCGAGTAGTACTTCTCCCAGTAGATGCAGATGTCCTGGTACTGGCACAGCAGCTTCAGCACTGTAAGGAAGCCCTGAGCCATAACAAAGGAGTCGCAGGAGCCTGTGCCTTCCTCCCAGGCATAGATGGTCAGCAGCTCCAGGGCGTACTTGGGAGGCAGGTCCGCTTTGGGATTCTGTACCTTCAGCTGGGGAGAAGACAGGGATAGGGGTGAGAGCTGGCTGGGGTGAGTGCCTAGTGGAAGCTGGGAAAGCTGGGCAGCCCCTCACCTCCTTGTACCAGTACTTGACCAGTCGCAGGAGGTTCTTCAGCTTGGCAGGGCGACGCTTCACAAACTTCTTCTGTAGCTCAGTGAAGCAGGTGGAAAACTCCCCAGGGCGGCCGCGGGCATTCAGGAGCTCCACGTACACCTCTGCCCTTGGCGGGGCGTCCTCTCTTACCTGCCCTGTGGGGCGAGAAGGAGGGTGAGAGCCATCCCAGCACTGACACCACTGCCTGGCCCCATGCCAGCCTGCAGCACTTACCCAAGGCGTCATAGGCGGGCAGGATGTCCACATCAATGGACTCTCTGGTCTCCCTGGAGGAAAGAGTGAGGCTGAGGGAGCGTGGTGTATTGTCAGGACCCTTGGACCGGGGTGGACTGATGTACACATTGAACTGCAAGTTCTCCCTGCAGGCCTTCAGCCTTATTATGATCAAATCCAGCATATCCTTTCTCTTCTCCTTCTGCTTCTGGTAGCTGGATAAGCAGCTGAGGAAGAGCACCACATCGGCATCAGAGTTGTTCTTCAGGGCTGTGCCCTTGCCCGCTGAGCCACCCTGCAGAGAGATACCCTGACTGCTCAGCACCGCTGCCCCTCGGCACTGGGATCGCCTGCCACCATTCCTGGAGCTGCCAAGGGAAACTGAGGCAGGGCAGGATCTGGAGCAGCAAGACAGATGGAAGGGCAATAGCAGGGGTGCTGGCTAGCCCCTGAGCCAAGCAGCACTCACCTTGACTATCTTGTTGACATGGATTTCGGTCCCAAAGCAGTCCTCCTTCAGGAAGTCACAGATCTGCCTCACCGCCTGCTTCACCTGCATGGAGAAAGCTGTGCTGGGCTCCAGGTTCTGTGCGATCCAGCCATCCAGGTTTCTGGCAGACACCGTTCCCAGTCCATCCGTGAATGACACCTGGCCCACATTCATGTTGCCAGGTGTGCTCACTCCTGTTGCTCTCAACTGACTTGCTGCCTGTTATGTCCACTCCTGCCCACCTCCCACAGCCTGCTCGTCTCTGCAGCAGCTTTTAAAGCTCCCCAAGTCACCGCCCCTATGCCATCACCACTGGGAACTTAAGGTGGTCCCAAGTCCTGCCCAATGGGGTCCCCTGGGTGTCCGAGTTGCCACCACTGCAGGGGTTCAGAGGGGGCAGGAAGGACTGCACATCACCCTGACATCCTCCTGACGTGGTGGCGGCAGAGCAGGTGCCTCTAGAGGCCGGCTCTGGAGCCCTATGGGACCCCATAGCCCAGGTGCCCGCGGTGGCACAGGGTCTCCCCTGGCTGCCCATCGGGACCCGGTGCCAGCCCCTGCCTGCCTGTGCCCATGTCAGGGGCTCAGGTGCCTGGGCTGGGGTGCAGCCCTGGGACAGGGATCGTGCTGGCACCACAGTGCCACCACGGGTAATGGGACTTGGCCAGTGCCACCAGGGCCCCTGGTGTCACCACAGGCAATGGAATGTGTCTGTCAGCAGTGTTAGCAGATGCCCTGGCATCCCTGTAGGCAATGAGATGCAGACAGTGCCACCGGGGCTCCTGGTGTCACCCTAAGTAATGGGACATGGCCAATGCCAGCACCACCGGGGACCCTGATGTCACTTCAGACAACAGGACATGGCCAGTGACAGTGCCACTGAGGAACCTGATGTCAACGCCGACAGTGGGGCATGGCCGGTGCCAGCACCACCAGGGGCTCTGGTGCCCTCCCTTGCAGTGGGATGCAGCCGGTGCCAGCATCACCGGAGCTCCCAGTGCCGCTCGAGCCCGGCAGCGGGAGGCGCAGGCTGGATGTTGCTGCCCGTGCTGCCTTAAGTGCCGGAGCCGGGAAACCAGAGTTTCGATTTCTGTTTCTTCTTCGACTGCGGTTTCGGTTTCTGACTCCGCCAAGCTAGAAACGAAAGTGCAAAGGGCTCCGTGAGGGCCCTCCTGGCCCAAATAAACTAGGAATAGTTTATTTGACCCCTGGAAACTCGGGTCAGGCAGGGCCAGGAGGATGGGAGGGGGCTACAGGCAGGGGGATAGTGGGCTCCCGGGAGCTGGGAGCTGGCAAAAAGCAGGAAAAAGGGGATAGGGAATAGTGGCAGAAGCACGAAAGGACAAGGGGTCAGGACGTGGGCAGAAAATAAGCAGGGGCTACGGAGAGGAGGCTGTAAGGGACAGGGACAGGGACAAGGATGGGGCAGGGAAGCATCAGCAGCAGGGGCAGGGATATGTGTAAGATGGAGATTGTGATAAGTAAAGGCACCAGTTTTATTCCAAGCAAATTAAAATAAAGGGCACTAACAGAAGAACTATTTCTGCATATTTACTAACTTCTAGGCGTACCGTGGAGTCTGTAAGGTGAAGGGTCCTGTCTGGACCTAACACCAGGGAATCTTTTGCGGCCGGGAACAGGGAACAAATTATAAATAAAAATGTATTCCTCTGTGCCATGTGGATACAAAGAGAGGCCCTCCATGCCTTGCAATGTGGGGATGATGCAAGACCCCCTGTACGAGCCCAGGGGAGATAAGTTACAACCAGCCAAAAGGTAACACCCACCTCCAAAGCAGGGAAATTACCTTTTAAGGCAACAAATGGACAATGAATGAATATTCAACAACTGATACCGAAAAGGTACAAAAAGCGCGGTTTTCAAACAATGTGTGTGCTCTTTGTATGATCCAGAGGTGCACCCAGTGCTGGAAATGGGTAACTAGCACTGCAATAAAAAACTCTTGCTATATTTCTTTGTCCTGCAGGTATTTTTGCCGTCTTCAAAATTCAAGAAAAGAAGTAACTTATAACAGAGATGGGGCCCAGTCAGCATCAGGGACAGCACAGGGGTACAGGCAGGGCCAAACAGAGATAGGCAGGGACAGGAATACAGACAGGGGCAAGGAAAAGGACAAAAAGATCTTAATAAAGGTCGTAACATTTCATAAAGAAAGACTAAGTGGCAGGGCAGGGATATGGGCAGGAGCAGCGACAGATGCCCCCTTAGTTGTGAGTGACAATGGGGCAGGAATACAGGCAGAGAAAGGGATATCAGGAGGGATGTAGGCAGGGAGAGGACCAGCAGTGGGGATGGGGTACAGGCAGGGACAGGGCGGTGGACAGGGACAGGTGTCAGGAGCTTTTCACACCCAGCCCAAGGGATGCAGACAGGGATAATGAGGAGCAAGGAGTGGAGACAATGCCAGGGCAGGGATACAGGCATGGATAGTGCGGAGCCAGGGACGAAGACAGTGTCAGGACAGAGAGAGGGGCAGGGACACGGGCAGGAAGAAAAGCAGGGACAGGGACAGGGATACGGGCAGGGCCAGGGATTCGAGCAGGGCGCGAAGGGAAGGGATATGGGCAGGAGAAGAGGCACAGGAAGGGACAAGGCAGGGATATGGACGGGTCCCAAGGCGCATGCGCAGACCACAGCGGGCGCTCCCAGGGGGCCGTGCGCTGATGAGGGGGCGGGGCCAGGGGCGGGGCGTCTCGCCGGAGGCGGGGCGTGGGGTCCGCGCGCGCCGGCCATGCCGCGCTCCCGCCGCGCCGCGCGCCGTGAGTTGGGGGGGGCGTGAATGGAGGGGCCGCGGGCACGGGTGACACGGGTGACACGGGTGACATGGGTGACGGGTGTCACACGGGTGACACGGCCGGTCTGACACGCGTCTGTCCCGCACCCCGCAGGCGGCCCCGGCAGCGCCCGGGCGGGCTCGCCCGGCAGCGAGGAGGAGGCCGGCAGCGAGGTGCTGAGCCACTGCAGCAGCGCCAGCGAGGGCGCCAGCCCCGCCGAGGAGGGACCAGGTGAGCCCCGCGGCCCCCTCTGGTGTCCCCACGTGGGTGGCGGTGTTCCCCACCCGCGGGCTCCCCGCCTTCACGTGGTGCCGCCCGGGCAGGGAGCGAGGCGGCGAGTGAGCAAGGCCAGGAGGAGGAGGCAGAGGACCGGCTGAAGGAGCACATGGATAGCCTCCTGGACAAGAGGTGAGGAGCGGCTGCCACCCGGCGTGGGCACTCCTGGCGCGCTGCCCGTCCCTGGCAGCGCTGCAGCCGGGGGCAGGGACGTGCCATGTCCCGGGACAGCCCGGGCTGTGACGTCCCGCCGTCTCTCGCAGCGCCAAGACGCGTCAGGCGGCACTGCAGAGCCTGCGCCTGGCCTTGTCCTCCAAAACCCTGTCCGAGTTCTTGCTGGAGCGCCGCCTCACGCTCTCCGACTCCCTGGAGAAGTGTCTCAAGAAAGGTCAGGGCGCGGGCGGGCTGTGGGCTGCGGGGCCGGTGAGCCGGGTCTGAGGGAGATCTCTCGTGCTGCCCACAGGTAAAGGGGAGGAACAGGCGCTAGCGGGTACCGTCCTCACCCTCCTCTGCCTCCAGATGGGCTCCGGCCCGGAGGGAGAAGAGGTGTTCCGCAGCCTGAAGCCCCTGCTCGTCAGCGTCCTGACAGACAGCACGGCCAGCCCCAGCGCCCGGCAGAGCGTAAGGCCCGGCCCCTTTCCTCCTGGGGACACTTCGGTGCTGGGGAGAGCCTTTGGGGCCCCTGCAGTTGCAGGAGGGTGACAGGATTGGGTGCTGTGCAGAGCAGAGGGGCAAAGCAGGGGCACCCCAGCCTGGCTTCTCTTTGGTTGGGTGCTGGATCTGTCCCAGCACTGCCTTCTCTGACTGCCCTTTCCTCACTCCTCTCGCCAGTGTGCCACGGCTCTGGGCATGTGCTGCTACATTGCTGCTGCTGACCTCGAGGTAACTGCGCCTGGGTGTCGCCCGTACCCCTGCAGAAGGGCAGCCGGGGCTGCCGAGCCACCTGCCCTCAGCCCACGGTGCCAGGGCAGCCTGGAGCTGAGCTGGGGTAGGGGTACAGGGACATCAGTGACAGCCCAGGCCCCTTCCCTGGGCAGTGTGGAGCTGAGTTGGGGGGAGGCCTGACTTGCAGAGATGGGGTGTTCTGTGTGGAGGAGTCTCTCCCTCCCCAGGGACCTCCTGATGGCTCTGGGCGTGGTGGGTCCCCTTCATTCCCCAGTGTGCAGCTCACTATGGCATCTTCATGGCAGCTGTGGTCTGACTGATGAGTTTCTCCCCTCCAGGATCTGATTTCATGCCTGTTCTGCTTGGAGGGCATCTTCAGCCCCCCCAGCACAGGTGAGGCGGGCTCAGCACCTGCCCAGCATGGGCCTCTGCACTGCAGTGCACTCCAGTCGTGGTCCCTGCTCCTGACCATCTGCCCCCCCTCCCACCTCAGGAGCATTTTGGACAAGTGAGTGGGGTGTGGGGTGAGTGGAGGCTGGTGTGGAGTAGCCAGCTGTGGAGCAGGGAGTCCCTGACTGCCCTCCTGCCTCCCTGTCCCAGTCGCTGGCTGCAGCTGCCCCCACTGCTGTCCAGCAGCAGCGTCGCCCTGCGCATCCTGGCCGGGGAAACCATTGCACTGGTGTTCGAGCTGGCCCAGGACCTGGAGGTACAGCAGGAACTGCAGCAGTGGGTGGGCAGTAGGTGGGTGGCAGGGAGGGAGCTGCAGGCAGTGACACACTGCTGAGCTGGTACTGACTGGAGTCACCAGCAGGTGTCCAGGCAGAGGGGCTGGCCTGGGTGATCCCCCTGCCTTGTCCTGGCCATGGTGGCAGTGCCTGGAGCCACATCCCTCCAAATCCTCTGCTTTTTGGCAGGAGGACTTGTGCCACCAAGATACAGAGCTCTTGTGTGCCCAGCTCAAGGTCCTGGCTACTGAGAGCAACAAGTACCGAGCCAAGACAGACCGACGGAAGCAGCGATCCATCTTCCGGGACATCCTGCGTTTCATTGAGGTGCTGGAGGCTGGTGTTGCCCTCCCTTGCCGAGAACCTCAGTGTATGGCTGCTGCCCAGCTGCTTGGTGATTCCCCTCCATGGAGAGCTGGGGACACATGGGGCTGGTGCCTGGTTTCTTGCTGATGCCTCTCTCTCTGCTCAGAGCGGGGAGTACCAGGAGGAGACCATCCGATTTGGCCTGGAGTGCATGTACCTGGACAGCTGGGCACGCCAGCGGACCTACCAAGCCTTTAAAGAGGTGCTGGGCTCTGGCATCCGCCACCACCTCCAGGTAGGGGCTGGGCAGATGCACCAGGGAGTGCCCAGCTGGTGCGGGTGGGTGCTGACAGGCCCCTGCTTCCACAGAACAATGAGCTGCTACGGGAGATCTTCAGCCTTGGGCCCCCCTTGGTGCTGGATGCGGCTGCTCTGAAAGCCAGCAAGGTCTCCCGCTTTGAGAAGGTGGGTGCCACCTCCCAGATTTATGCCCACAGTCCCCTCCTGTGCCACTGATTGAGTGTGGGGGGCGCTGATGGAGCATCCGTAACCCATCTCTCCTTCCCTCTCTTCCAGCACCTCTACAACTTGGCTGCCTTCAAAGCCCGCACGAAAGCCCGGAGCCGTGTGCGGGACAAGCGGGCGGATGTGCTGTGATGGGCTGAGGGGGGCAGAGCCCCCAGCCCACCTGGACTGCAGACCCAGCACTGTGAGGGGCAGGTGCCCCTGGCCCTTGGGCTTTTATTCATGTACAGCAGAGTATTTAATGCCTGGAGCTGCCCCACCGGGGGCTGCCCCCTCTTTTATTTTTTTAACCAAAGAAAGGAAGGATAAAAGAAGAGCAGGGGGAGGTGGTGGCATGTCTGCTGTGTGCCTGCTCTGCGGCTGAGACTCCGTGTGGCACAGTGGGAAGAGCTTTCACCAGAGCTCCTGCAGCACTTTTTAGAGGCAGGGCTCATGTCCCCCCACCTCCAGTCCTTGGGGACACCAGGGTGGCCTGGCACAGCCTGAGGGGTGATTGAGAGGGCAGAGCTCTCAGTGCGGGGCTGTGGGGCAGCTGGCCTGGTGTCTGTGCCTGTGGCAGGAGCACTCGCTTTCACCTGCTGCACTGGTGAAAAGCCCCTGCCTCCACAGCCAGTCTGGCACCAGGGGTGGTGGCAGAGCAGAGTAGGGTGGCAGGCCCTGCCCAGCCCTGCCAGCTGCTCACTCTCAGCCCTTTTTTCAGCCAAATGCTTTATATGAAATAGTAATCTTGTGGGAAATTAATTACGGGGGGGCAACTGCCCAGGCGGGCATGGGGTTGTGCCAGCTGGCAGTGCCTGCCACTCCGGGAATGTATCTATCGTGGTGATTTTCTAAGACTTTGATTGTAAGAGGTAATTAAAAGGCTAATTGGAGAGTGCCTTCTGCCTTTTTAGGAGGAAGGGCTGTCACAGAGGTGGGTGCCAGTCCTTACAGCCCTGTCCCTTTCTCTCACAGCCTGGGGCGGGGGCCGGGATCGCCCCTGTGTCCCACGGGGCGATGCTGCCAAGTCTGAGTGGGTAAGGCTGCCCACTGCCCCCTCCTGCCCTTCGCTGCCCCTTCCCACGGTGGCCTGGAGCCCATGGTGGGGCTGGGAGCAGCTCAGCGGTGCCCGCTGGGCTGGGTGCTGGTGTTGAGGCGAGCCCAGAGCTGCCTGCTGGCTGCCCGCAGCTGGTGCACGGCGTCCTCCTGGCTCTCCAGCCACTGAGCCAGCGCCCGCACGGACTGGCTCTGCAGGACTGCGGGGAGAGGATGGGGACATGTGGGCACGATCCCCCGCAGCACCCCAGCCCCCCACTCTGCCCAGTGTCACATACCGCTCAGGTAGATGGCCAGCGTGGCCAGGACCAGGCTCGCCAGTGTCAGCAGCACCAGCAGGGCCAGCAGCAGGGGGTGGCCAGGGCCGAGGCAGGGGCAGGGGCTGGCGGGGGGCACGGGGCGCAGAGTGGGCAGGAGCACCGGGGGCACAGGGGACACGGTCTGAGGGGGAGGCCGGCGCAGGCTGCTGGAGGGAGCCGGGCCATTGCCTGCAAGCAGGGGAGAGAAGAGGTCAGAACCCAACCACAAGCACAGCCAGTACTGGCACAACCACCTCCCCCAGCGTTCTCACCCTCTGTGCCCTTCTGCCCGCCCGAGGCCAAGTGCAGGTCGCTGATGGACTCCACGGGGCACAGGCTGATGGCTCCAGGATCACTGCTGTCAGGGTCCGTGGGCTCTGCCGGCGCGGCACCCTCGGCCCTTCCCATGCTGTCTGCTGGAGCAGAGGCAAAGGGTCAGCGTGTGCCCTGCCCACAACCCCTGCCTGCCCCGGGTACCCCTGTTGGACAGACCCCTCCCGGGGCGGGGGATCCCAACCTTGGCAGCCCGGTGCTGTGCTGGGGCAGGCAGCCAAGGCCGGTGTTCCCTTGGCACAGCCCTGCAGGCGCGGCAGACAAGCGCTGGCTGTGCCCCCCTGGCCCTGACGCTGTCATCGGAGCACTTAGCAGGCAGGCACCTGGTGGCCACGATTCCGGAGCCTCGTTAGTGGGACTGGAATCTGGCCCTGGCTTGGGGGCAGGAATGTGCCACCCCCTGGCCCCGATAGCCCGGGCACTGTGGGGCTGGCTGGGGCTCCCAGGGCCAGCTGGGAGCTGGTTGGCAGGGCCAGGGCAGTGCCAGCCAGCGGTGTTGCTCAGCTTGCCCTGCAGGCACCGTGCTTGGGTGTTGCCTGGGGGTGCAGAGATGGAGATGTGGGATGTGTTCTGTGCCAGGGGGACCTTGTGCCCACTGCCCAAGTGGGCAGATCCCTCATGGGAGTGAGGGGGCTTTTTGGAAGTAGGCATGGCTCCAGCACCATTTTGGAAAGCAAGCATAGGGTAGAGAGAAAGGGTCCTTTTCTAGGTGTTTGTGCATTTTTGGGCAGCAGGGAGGGCCCACGTGCTGTGCCCGTGGCGGAGAAGGGCAGGCTGGCACTGTGCCCATTCCCAATCCCTCCCGGGGTCAGTGGCGTGTCGCAGGGCAGCGTGGCGCCATGCTGCTGCTGTCCAGACTGTGTGTCACCCTGCAGGTTAGCAGGCATCAGGGCTGGGGAGCCTCAGCTGGTACCCAGGGTCCCCTCAGACCCTCCACAGGGCACTGCCTTTGGCTGTGGGCTACCCTGTGGGTACCCCCATCACCCCTGCATCTGCTCCCCCTCAGCTGGGGGAGCAGATGCAGGGGAACAGAGGTGGTTGCACAGGTTTGGTGCGGGGGGCTGTGCCAGCCAGCTGCCTGCCACCTCCCCAAACCCTGCTGCCCTGCACCTGCAGCCCTCCACAACCCCCTTCTTCCCAGGGCAGGCATCTCTGCCCACAGTCCCCGAGGCAGAGGGCACCATCTGACCACTGCTTCCATCCCAACCCCACAGTCCCGTGCCACCCAGTCCCCCCTGAGGTGCCAGGGCCCCCACCAGCCCCCAACCCGCTCCCAGTGTACCTTCTGCAGCCTCCCTGGGCATGGCTCCCCGTGCCCTGCGCCCGGGCAGCGTGAGTGGGCAGTGAGGTGGTGCGGGGCCCCTGGGAGCTGGGCACTGGGTTGCCAGTGCGCCAACTGCGCCGCTTAAAATAGGACAGTGAGAAACACGGTTGGGGGGGGATAAAAATAGCTGTGGGGAGGGGGGCCCGGTGGCGTGGACAGGGCTGCCAGCAGCACAGTGCCAGTGTGGCAAAGGGAAAGCAGGTTGTGGCAGTGCCCCGTGCCCCCTTTCCCAGGGTAAAAGGGTTGCCACCTCACCATAGGATCAGAGCAGAGTCCATGCAGGGACACTGAGGCCCCCTTGGACACATCCAGAGCCAAACTGGGGTCTGTGCCATCTCTCAGTAGCAATGGCAACTGTACCCAGCCTGGGTGCACCACAGACACCCCCCCTGCCCCAGCTTTGCCCACAAGGACCATGCCAGCTCTGCCACGAGGATTTATTTAAGTTAATGAGACCGTTAAGAAGTGCCAGCAGCAGTGCTGCCAGGGCAGGGGACCGTGGCGGTCCCCTGCCCGGGTCACCAGCCCCATGTGCCCTGTGGCGGGCAGGTGTCGGAGGGCGGGAGGTCCTTACGTCCATAAAGGCTGTGAGTGTGGGTGGGCACCAGGCAGGAGGCAGCAGGGCCAGGCCGGACCCGCTGAGCACAGCCCTCGCCCACCCAGCCGCGGTAGCAGTGGCAGCGGAAAGCAGCCGGTGGGCCGGCACCGGGGCCGAGGTGCAGGAGGCTGCCCAGGTCGTGGGGCTGCCGGCGCACGCAGCGCCCGTGTCCGTGGCACTGCCTGTAGCTGCACTCTCGGGCTGCTGCCATCACGTTGGCCACATAGGGGCCCAGGGTGGAAACGAGGTAGTGGCGCAGGCTGGCACAGCTCTCCTGGGGAGGAAGCACCAGTGAGAACTCGCTCCAGCACTGGAGACCCTATGGCCGCCCCTCCGCAGCAGGCATCAAGGATGTGACCATCCCGTATGTCCCATGCCACCTCCTGCTGCCCACCACTGCTCCAGTGCAGTGCAGGGCTGTACTCACAGCTGAGCGGGAATAGGACATGTCTCCCCAGAGCACAAGTCCAGCTGCTCCCAGCGCTGCGCTCTCCCCGATGGTGTGCACCAGGTCAGCCTGCCAGGAACAGAGATGTGACCAGGCTGGGGAGGCACAGGCTGCGTCCCTGTGCCACACAGAACCCCCTGGCACACACACTACCAACTCTGGCCCCACGGTGCTTACCAACTCCAGGAACTGGGGCGAGCGGCGGAAGGAGAGGCGAGAGTAGGCGATCACGGGCAGGAGGCCACGGGCTCCGAAGGCGGCCACGCGCAGGGCCTCGCGCACCCGGTGGTGGACGTAGCGGTGGCGCAGGGCAGGCGGCAGTGCTGGTGGCAGGTAGATGCTGGGGTAGAGGGCTGTAGAGGCAGCCCAGAGCCAGCCCAGCCGGTTGTTGCGCTGCACCTCTGCCGGCTGACACTGCCCAGTGTAGTTGGCCTCCTTGGCCCAGTTTCCATTGAGGCAGTCAGGGAAGCGGTAGAAACCCCAAAGCCCCCCTGGGCGCAGGGTCTGGCCCAGCAGAAGCGTCTCTTCCATCAGAGCCTGCGCCGCCTGCTCAAACTCCCGCCGGGCCAGCCGGAGCCGCCGCCGTGCTGGCAGGATGCCGTGCCGGTCCCGCACCCACTGCTCTGAGGCTGCCCGGTATATCTTTTTGGTCCCCCAGTTTTGGGCCCAGAGGGGCCTCCACTCCTCCCAGTCCACCACGGCCAAGCCACGGAAAGCAGGGCGCAGGAGGAGGTGGATGTCCTCAGCCACCCTGGAGAGGTGGGCGCCAAGAGGGACACACTGGGGGATGCCCCCATTGCGGGGGACACCCTGCTGTGACAGGTAGGGGTACAGCCCAAACTTGTTCTTGTAGAAGATGGTGATGTTCTGGCCCCTGAAGTGGCCGCCCTGGTTCTCCACGATGCCATAGTCACTGAGAGGTAGCGCCACGCCAAAGTGGTGCTGGCAGCGCCCAGTGGGAATGTTCCACACCACGGCAAAGGGCTGGCCGCCTGACAGGGGCTCGGGTGCTGGGCTCTCCCCACTGGTGGTGCCCAGTGCCAGGCACATCCACAGCACCAGCACCATCCCACCTCGCCGTCTGCCTGTGGGGCCAGCACCCTGTGGGAAAACAAAAGCAGTGGCGGTGAGGCTGTGGGGCACAGGGGGCACCCCAGCTGTGCTGGCACTGCCACCCTGGTATGGGGTGGGCTAGAATCAGCCACAGGTGCCACGTGCCCCACAGGCACATGCTGCCCACCCAAAAACCCCACAGGACTTGGTAAACTTGTGGGTTTCAGACCCCTCCAGCCTCAGCACTGGCAGTGGGCACCTCTGCCTACTGCACCCTGGTATTGAGCCCCTGCCTGCCACAGCCATGGTACAGCTCTGGAATGGCACTGCAAGCCACAGACACTAGTGCCTCCATTTCCTTGCTGGCTCCCAGTCCTGCCTGTAGTGGGGGCACCATGATGCCCTCCTCCCCATTTCACCACAGCACCTTGCCCAGCTGGGTGCCCTACTGAGGGACCAAGCCCTACAAGAGGCATGGTGGAGCCAAAGGTGCAGTTGAGTCCCTCACAGCCCAGGCAGAACCAGAGGGGGCTGGTGCCCATGCCCAGTGCTGGCCAGCTGCCCGGGACGAGGGGATTAGGCAGCGGACGGGCCCGGGGGCCGCGTGATGCAGCAAGGGCAGTGCTAATCCCCCGCGTGAGGCCGGACACTCTCCCTGACCTTCCCGTTCCCTGGCTCTCACTGACGATGGCTGCCTCAGGGCAGGGGGGGCTTGGCCACCTGCCCCCCTCACCGTGCAGTGCAGGGACCCGACCCTGCAGCCCCACTGCCATGCCCTACTCCCATGGTGCCCTTCCAACCATAGCGTGCCTTGGTTTACCCAGGGCTGCTCAGTGGCAAGAGCAGCAGCTCCGCTGGAGACCACCACACACCATCAGCCCCAGCTGCCCTTCAGTGATCCCCCTGAGTGGAGGAGACACTGGTGGGACTGGGTGGTGCTCCTGAGATCAGTCCCAACCCCACAGCCTAGACTGGGCCTGGCTCCCCACCACGCTGGTGGTCCCAGAGCCATGGCCAGGCGAGCCGGGGGCCAGGTGGGAGTGGAGTCAGTGTGCCCAAGCAGGGCAGGGTGTGGGGACCCACCCAGCAATGGAACCAGAGTGAACGAGGGAGGCTGGGGGAGCTGGTGCCAGCCCTGAAGAATGGCAGGCAGTCAGGCAGCGCCACAGCAGGCAGCTCCTGCCTGCACTGCTTTTAATCACCGTCTTGGGGCCCCGGCCCCTCAGATGTCCTTCTTCATCCAGAAGATGGGGAGCCCTTTGGCATCTCGGTGGGGGGTTTCCAGAAGGCTCTGCTTGCTGTTCTCAGCCAGGACACCCCTCGCCCAGATCACAGTCGGTGGAGGGGGTGGTGGTGGGACAGCGAGGGGTGGGAGGGGAGGCGGAGGGGCAGAAGGTACCCTTGGCCTGATGGTGATGGTAGCACCAGGAGGGGCGGAGAAGAGCCGCAGCACCTCAGAGGATATGGCGGGGCTGAGGAAGGCCACGCTCTGCACCGGCTCACCCAGGACGTAGCCCAGGTGGGCATAGAAATGCTGCTTGTCGTGGGTGGTGAGGTGCAGGCAGCCAAACCCCTGGGCCCGAGCCCACCGCTCGGTGGCCTCCATCAGCCGCCGCCCGTAGCCCTGGCCCCGCAGTGCCCGGGCCACCACCACGCTCTCCACGAAGAGGTCACGGGGACGGCCGACCACGCGGGAGAGTCGGACATGGCCCACGAGCTGGCAGGGACCCTCCCGGGGGCCAGGGATCTCAGTGGGGTGTCGGCTCCGCAGCAGCAGCAGGCAGACAGGAAAGGCGTCCGAGGAGCGCTGGAGCGTGTGGAGCCGCGATGCCCGGCTCTTCCCCCACTCCTCGCCCAGCAGCTCGGCACAGGCTTCCAGCAGCTCCGGCCTCTGGTGCAGGGGGACCAAGCTGAGCTCCTCTGACACTGAGCCCATTCTTCTCACTGATAGGAAACCAAGCAGGCCACAGTTTAGAGGCAGTAAGGGACAGACCGTGTGTGTCCCCCCAGCCCAGCACTGGCCCCAGTGCAGGTGCAGTTCCCCAGCAGTGCAGACAGATCAGTTCATGGGGGTTAGTGGCAGGTCCAAGGTCAAACAACAGATCCATGACAGGGAGGTGGCATGTGGTGCCAGCTCCAGGAATCTGTGCCTTGAGACTTGCAGGCAGGTCTGGCACTGCCAAACCAGCGGAGGGGCAGGAGACACAGTGCTGGCCTTTCCCCCTCTCCATCTCTGCCACTAGCTCCTGCCACCTGGGCACCTGTCAGACCAGCCAGCTCACCACATGTGTCCCCAGCATGGTGCTTCCAGGGGGCCCTGACAGCCTCTGAAGGGTCAGAAAACCGCTACCACAACCACCATGTGGTGGGGACCCCTCTCCCAGCCTGGTGGCTGTTCCCATTGCGAAGGAGAAGCCACAGGCAGAAGGCAGGAGGAAGCACCACACCAGTTTATAAAATGGGGTTGAGCAAACTGCTCCACTTCCCCTCTAGGGGAGGGAGAGCTTGGGCTTGCCCCCCCACACCCTCAGGGTGCCTCCCAGTCACTCCCCTAGCTCTGAGACCTCTGACTTCCAGCTCAGCCTGCAATGACCCCTTGAGAGGCCAGACAGCACCCCAAGACCCCACTGGCACCCTGGGTGGGTGATGGTTTCCTTTTATCCACCCAGCAAACACACACCAGGACCCCAAGAGCACCTGCCAGCCACTCACCCTGCCTGCACCCACCTTCCCTGTGCTTACCCTGCTCACTCTCGCCCTGCTCCCACCCACCCTGCTCTTGCTCCCCCTCCTCACTCTCACCCTGCTCACACTCCCGCTGCTCACACTCACCCTGTCCACACTTAACCTGCCCACACTCACCCTGCCCGCTCTGCTGGCTCCTGCGCCCTCGGTGCCTGCGCAGCAGCACGGCAGGAAGCAGCTCAGGCTCATGACCAACCACAGAGCCTGGTTCTGCTTCCCTGGTGTGAACGACACGCCTGTCCAGGGCCCCACGGCACCCACACTTCCCCACCCTGCACCCTGACACGGGACACTCATCCTGCCTGCACCCCCCCCTCGCTCCAAACCACTCGGCACCCACACATGGTGCACAAACAGAAACGGCTTCACGCAGCTGATCGCTGCCCCCACCTCAGGGCTGCACCTCCTGAACACACGGTACCCACCCCACCACTGACCACCACCGCTGGCCATCGCTGACCCACCACTGATCCATCGCTGACCCCAGCACTGACCCAGCACTGACACATTATGGACCCCATAATTGTCCCACCACTGGCCTATCAGTGATCCCACTACTGACCCCACCACTGGCCCATCACTGGTCCCATTATAGACCCCAGCACTGACCCACCGCTGCCCCGTCCCTGCCCCGCCCCCGGGCCCCTATTCCGTCCCGTTCCCCCTCCCCGCCGTGCCCTGGTCCCGCCCGGTCCCGCCCGTACCGCTCTCCGGCCCCGCCGCCGCCGTCACTTCCCGCGCCCCGCCCGGACCGGCCCGCCCCGCGCGCCCCCGGGCGGCCGGAGGACACACCGCCCGCCCCGCATCCCGCTCCCGAATTCCCCGCATCCCGCTCCCGAATTCCCTTTGCGTAGTGCAGTGCGGGCACTGGACCCTTCAGATGTGTCCCCCTGAAGTCCAGCTTGCAGAGTCGCCAGGCAGGGACCCCCTCCCTTCCCACTGCTGCCTTTCTGCTCCTGCTGCCTGGATGGATGGGGTGGTGGGTCCCTTGCCCACCCATCTCCCTCCACACTGCCCCTGGCATGGGTTCCTGCAGCCTCAGCCTGGGCAACAGCTCCGCAGCAGCCTGGAGCCACCAAGGCCAAAACTTTGTTGCCTCAACAGCCTTCCAGTCAGAGAGATTGGCTTTCCTTATATGTCCTGGGATGCTGAGCCTGGGAACAGCATCACTCCCCAGCTGGTGCATCTACCTGCACAGGCTGGGACAGGCCCTGAGCACTGCCACTGTGTCCCTGATGGTGGTGGTGGTGGCATCTCTGCTGCTCAGTAAGCTTCTCCAGCAAGGACTCCACTAGGGTACAAGGAAGCAGCAGTCTGAGCCCTAGGATGTTCTGCAGGTTGGGGCATCTGCTCTTCCCAAAGTCTGGCAGAAAGAAGAGACCTCAGCCAGAATCCTCCAGAGAGCAGCTGGAGAGCTGCTCCCTCCCTAAGCCTGTCGCCTTACAGAAACCAGTACAGGGCATTCCCACTGTTCTTCCCTGCCTCTACTAGTGCCAAGAAAAAAAGAAGCTGATTGTGCAAAATAAAGTTTCTTCCCAAAAGCAGATTTTAGCTCTTAAGAGCATCCCCTGTCCCAGACAGAGAGGAACTATCCCATTACAGCCAAGGATGGGGCCCTGAGACCCCTCGAAGTACATGGGACGGGACCAGAGGCCGTGCTCCCCTAGTTGAGGGTCCCTGGGAGGCAGAAGGTGTTGACGATGGCTCGGGAAGCAGCCCCACTGTGTCACTGCCACGATGACTCTGGGTCTGGGGGCCACCAGCTGCAAGGGGGTCTGCGAGGCAGGGCCCGAGGAGCCATGGGGGGCATAGCGGGGAGGGCCGGGGTGTGACAACCGGGCTCGGGATGCGGGTCCCCGACACGCGCGGCCGTCCCCGCGGCAGGGGCGGGGCTTATATCCCTATGGGCGGGGCTAAGGACAGGGGGCGTGAGCTTATTCTGAGGGGGCGGAGCGTCATCCCTGAGTGACAGGGGCGGGGAGAGGGTCGGGAAGGCGATGATCCGGGACCAGGAGGGCCAATGAGAGGCGGAGCCGGGCCGCCTACAGCCAATGGGCGCTGCCGGGGGCGGGGCCCGGTGCCGGCGGGCGGCGGGCGGCCCCACGTGTCCCGGCAGCATGGCGGCGGCGGCGGCGGCGAGCGGCAGGAGGGCCAAGGCCCCGCGTGGGGCCTCGGGACGGCGGCGGCCGCGCCTGGCGGTGAGAGATGGCTCGGGGAGGGAGGGAGGGAGGGAGGGAGCAGGGCGAGCAGGGACTGCCCTGGCGGGGTGGCCGCCGTCGCGCGTTTGGCCGTGCCCGTTC